CCCCAAAACCCCCAAAACCCCAAAACCCCAAAACCCCAAAACCCCTATGGATTATGACAACCTTGATTATAATAAATTAAAAATAATGAGTGCTTCGCAAGGCCATATTGCCAATGTACTTTGAGTACTTTTTGACACAGTGATTGAGAATCAGCAACACCAAGCAGTTGAGCAGGATGCTGAGATGATGCCAGGTAAGAAGATCAACTAATGGCTAGCTAATTTTCAACATACCTTCAATTACTTTCCAAAAATAATATTTCAAGCATCATTTACTTTTTTGAATAGATTCATTACTGACTATCTTGCTTCATAAAGTCAATTTTTACCTTTATTTCTTGTAAAAGAGTAGATTTGCCTGTAACTTTATGTAAATTTTTTATTCTGGCACATTTTTTTTTGTGGTCACTAAGCTCTTGAAGCAGACTTATTTACAGATTCTTACACGAGCGGGGATGGATAAGCCGATATAGGGGTTTTATGCCTCTAACTCTAGTAAATCCTCTCATAATAGTTTTTATGTCTCTCTTTTCCTTAGAAGTTGATGAATTTCTCAATGAACATGAGAAACTCTCTTCCGTAATTTTGAGATATGTATGCTTTCTTTTGAAATTTGAGAGGGTTTAAGAAAAATCCTGTCTAATATATATGCCAAAATTCCATTCTGTAAGGCGATAAATTCTCTATAAACCCTTTCAAATGCTTGGTTATCCTATTATTCGAAAATCTAGTGGTAGGGTTATCTAATCTGTACAAAAGTTTCACCATAAGCGGTAATTAATGTACATTGAGATTTCTTTTTCAGTGTGAAACCTAATATTATCATTATGGTATTTTCTGAGAATATTGGAATTTCAACAAATAAGAAAAGATTGTATTTGGTGATGGGTATACCTTATCAGGCCTTTCTAAATCCACATTAATCACTTTTCTTTTAAATTCGGGTTAAATTCCACTATTTTTGAATAACTACAGCTTCGTTATTAGAGTTCATAAAAATATTTCCTTAGAAGAGGATTCGCCTCTTATTTTAGCAAAAAGTAGATTATAGTGGACGGTATCTACAGGAGTTTATATTTCAATAACTAATATCCTTCTTATTATCTTCCTCTAACTCAGAATTCCTTAAGAATTCTTAAAGAGCCTAAGAACTTCAAAATTAAGAGAGAGTTTAGTAATCTCATGAATAAGATCTTGAGGGGTTTTATCTCTTCAATTTCATGCAAAAATCGCTTCAGAAGGAGTACATTGAGTTATGTCTGTGCATGCATTTTATTTTGAAGTTTAGCTGTAAACTTATGAGTCCAAAATACCAAAAGATGGAGTAATCCTTATTTTGCCAGATTTGTTGGCGGGATTTGACCAAAAATGTTGATTATTTTCAACAAATAGCTTATTCTATCTCTTTTTAATCATAATGTATCAGCCTAGGAAATGACTTGTATAGAATACACTCTAAGGAGAGATTTACTCATTATCTATCTTTTAGCATTTGGAGTTAATTATTCTTGAAAAGTACTGTAGAGACTGTACTTTTCAACCAAATTTTGAAAAATAGTATATCTTAGTTTGTATATTTTAGGTCTCGAGAGCGATGTCATTGTCTAACAGATACAATATTTTACAAATCTGGGATTTTCTGCCAGATTCTCAAGCCCACTGATACCTTGAAAATCTAAGAAAATTTAAAAGAAAGGGATAAATGCTTCTCTGTAGAGTTTGAATCATCTATGAATATTGCAAATCTTTCATAAATTTCAGATGATTCTTTAGTTAGTTGTCTGGTTCGGATCTTGGTAATCTCAAAGTCTTAGCTCGATCCCAAACGACCAGATACAATATATCAGGTTTGTGTACACCTGTGGCTTAAGCTTAATGAGCAATCCAAGCAATTTCTTTTCATCAAGTTTGAAAGAACCTAAAAATCCACCAATTGGATAAATGTTTTCCTATGCTTGAGAATTGAAGAAAGATTCTTGGTCAAGAATTCTTCTATTTTTGACATAAATATTCGCCAAAAATAACAACTTGTTTTATAGAGGAAGATAAGGAGTCAATGCATGAGGGAGATCCCTCAGATATTTTCAACGATCCTGGTGATGTTATCAACGGATATAATAGAGATTCTTTAATGGGAATGCTGTACTGCATCGCAAAAGCTTTGGGCGAAACCAACCCTTCTTTCGTCCCAATCTTGGTCTACATCGATAGGATATGAGTAAATCATGAGAATTTTGTCATTTCAGGTAAAAACATTAGAAGACTGAGCATTGTAGCCATATGCGTCTCTAATAAAATGTTCGATGATTTCTACATTGCCAACTGATGTTATGCTGAGCTCTTAGGGATCCCTAAAGAAGAATTCAACTATTTAGAAAGAGTTTTTGTACAGCTTTTAAAGTACGACCTCAATGTAACAACTGAAGAGTACAAAGCCTATTGCTCTCATATGAGAGACTATATTCTTGAGAAATTCTGAAAACCTCAGGCACCTCAACAGGAGCCTCTAAGGGAGCCAGAGCAGACTCATATCCAAGAGCCAGGGCAGACAAATGACCCGATGATCAACTAAGGCTAATATGTATTTAGCAGATGCTGGAGCTTAGAAGAGAGACAATCTGCTCTAAAATATTATTTTTGCAATCATTTTATATGTCTCCAATTCCTTAATATATTAATTCACAATGCAATCAACTTTAGAGGTAACATACGGGGTTTTGGGGTTTTGGGGTTTTGGGGTTTTGGGGTTTTGGGG